ATAAACCACGTGTGTTCCAGTCCTCTAAACGTGAGCTTTCCATATTGAATTCAGCTCCCAGCATCACTAGGAGGGAATTGGGTGTCTCATGCTAAGACAATTTAATGGACTTTAACTATCCCGATTACATATTGTATGTCAGTATCTTGGCCAATGGATCTGAGTGATTCCACTCTATACAATTCAACATACAAAGCTTCGGCTTCATGATAATTCAAACAGCGCTAACATTTTATAAATAATAAACGAAAACCTCACGCCTAACTATGATTTGCCATCCTCATGAGCCATCAAATATTAATCCCAACTTTGTGGTGGTCAAAGCATTTGACGCACTCCACATTTAAGTGCAACCAAAATATATTTGACGATTCTTAAAGTGTGCCCAAGTGAATATCAAATAATCACTAATGTCCAATTCTCGTAAAAGAATTGCGAACCAACCCTACACAAATTAATTTATACAAAATTAATTTTAATGACACCAAAATTGTCATACCATGTGTTTTTCAAACACATCAATTAATTTAGTCAAATTAACTACATGCCAATATGGTAAAACCAATATAGGTTTCATTTATAATATTCATACATACATCTATATATGTATAATATTGAACCATTGGAATATTAATTCCATACTCAAAGGATTATTACATCCTTTTGCCAATATTGATCAATAATTCTCATGTAAATTTTAATTTAAGAATTATATCCACCTCTCCCATATCCTTCATACAAAAACTTGGAGGAAAGAAATCTTTCAATCATATTCCCTTCCATGGTGTTATTTCACAAATCATCGCAATCAAATACAACGTTGTCTCCCAATTTCATACATGAATTTCTGGAATAGATATGTCTATGCCGCTATTTTATTGCTTCCAATCAGCCCCGCCAGGGGCTGCACCAAATTTTCAATCATTGGAAGATCGTTTATAAATTGCACTGCAGACAAGCCGGAAATTCATTGCCGACTGTCCTGCCCCAACCAAATAAAAGATTGTCTGCACTTTTTTTCGACATGTAAATTTTTATTCTATAAAATAAAAATCTTGAGTGCAGAGGAATTTATTCTCAAAATCAATTCTAACAAATTGACTGTTAAAATAATAAATTCCAATATCCTCAAATTTGGACTTCTTTCCAAATTTCATTTTCATATCCGCCAAAGTATCACATCCATAACCGTCCGAAAATATCTTATAAGATTATTGGAGAAATAATTTGGATTGAAAGAAAATAAAAAGAAATTGAATTCCGGCGGGTATACATGATCTTGGATATACTTTGAATCGCATAGATTCGCTTTCCTTATACGATATTTCGACCCTATTAACGCCCCAGGTTACACGAAATTCGTACGAGGATAAAACAAAGCAACACTCGAAATTTTCGCCCAAGTAAACAATTGGAAGATTATTTGCGTATGAATAATATAATTTTCAGAATCCTGGAGAAATGAGAGACCTGAGAGTATTTATTCTGTGTCACTGTCTGTCTCTCCCTCATTCTTTCTTCTCTCTTTGTTTTTTCTCTCAATTCTATGAACAAAATAATATATTAATATATTTAGAAGTGTCGTTTTCGAAAAGATTTGAATTTGAATTTTAAATTCGAAAGACACAATCTTTTCATGAAAATATGCAATTTTAATTTCAAATTGAAAAGATTCAATTTAAAGTTATCAATTCAAATTTAAATTTGAATTTATAAGGTTGTATGCAGGAATTAAATAATTCCTCATTTGAACATAATAATTTTCAAACAATATGTACCATAATTTTCCCCAAAGATAGCTCAATACAATATTCCTTATCTTTGAATAAATCCAATAGCAACAAAATAACCAACAATATCTTCCCTTTCTAATCCTCTTTCATCAACGTTATTCATAATCTACTGCCCTAATTATCTCTTCATCAATGCTTATTGATTCCTTAAACTTATTTAAGCCCCTAAATCTCTCTAAGGGTAAATAAGAGAGCAATTAAGGTTTCATGATTATTCAGCTCCTAAATTAAGTTCGTTGGTGTCGGCGTTACACCAGCAAACGATGGAGTTCTCCTCTTTGCAGACCCAGCTCGTTGTCTTCTTGCAGACCTTGCCCATTCACTTCTTGTTCTCTATCAGAAGCCGATCCCATTTCAGAAATCTCCTCAACCCGAACATGATTGCAGTTATGATTGTTCAGCTGTCGCACTGGATAGGTGAAGCAAGTTCTTTCACAGCAATTTGGATCACATATTTGGACAGAGATGTGCCTCTCTCCTACATAGTTAAATACCAAGGAACATCCCCTCAAGAGCGTGGTCCCTATTAAATATTTCACATCCCAATGCGAATGATAATGCATTGTCAACTTAGGATTGAGTCACGGGCCATATCTGCCCACATAAATCCTCACAGGCCATATCTCCTGACTACAGGAAATACCTACACAATTTATGGCCCCAATTTTCTCTCTATTTATGCTATTTTTATTCATTTATTTAACCGGTACTGTTGACTTTAATTATCTCGTAATTAATAATCAATACATGAGTATAACCAAGAAGCAAAATGTAGAGGTGAAGTCATCCTCAATCGTAGAAACTTTGCAATAGGGAGCTATGCAATTAGCTTTATTAAGACTATAGAGTATGGCCAGTGTGGTTGCACTATAGAGCGGACATCATTTTTTTCTACATTTAGAACATTGTAGACTAACTAAGAATATGAAGGATATAAAATTACACGACAACATACAGAACCTTTAGGCCTACTTTAAAGTCTAATATTATATTAGACACACAATAACCACGATAAAACAACATAGCTAGTAAAATAGGTTTTTCACTTTTGCTGAAATCGGAATTGGTAGTATCAGCTAGTGTTGTAACATAAGAAAGAGAGACACAAAACAAGGACATCCGGGAGAATTTATGTGAAAATTGAAGTGTCAAAACGGTAGTGTGTAGTTCTAAAACATGTCCATGGTCAAATATTGTCATTTGATTTAAAAAACTAAGAGAGAATTCAAAATTAAATAAACTTCTATAGCAATAGAAAAAATAGAGGAAATAAATAAGAGTAATGAAGTCATCACTAAAATTGATGTTTTTTATATTGGGATCAAAATTGATAAACTTTAATTATATTGAGAACAAAATTAATTTTTTTCAAAAATTATTTAAATTATATAATTTTTTAAAACTTAAATAAATCATGCAACGCACAGGAATATGCTAGTTTATAATATAACTATTTTTATATAATAAATACATAATTGAAAAAAGAAATTATTGCAAAAAATCATTACTGCTTGATTATATATATAAAATAATAACTATAAAATGCCATAAAATTTATTTGAATAAATTAAATATATAGTCTAATATCATTTGGAAAACAAACGTCTCAATTGATCGCTGAATTTCATCAGAGTTTGATTTTATGCTCATTACTTCAACGCAGCAGCTTTGATTATGATATGATATGACGACTGGAAATTGGAATGGGGGCAGATTCATCCAATCGATCATGCTAATTCCAATTCCGATTCCGATTTCCAGTTGGTTTGATTCAGATTCACAGACACCATAGTTGCACAGCAATTGCAGCCAAGATTTCGATTTAGGAAGCTTTCCCGCCAACATTTGGGATTTCAATTTCCAACATGATCAGAAACTGCACGGCCTCCTCCATAACCCTCCTCCGCCCAAGTTTGGATTGAGGAGGGTCCTTCTCTTCCTCACAAATTCGGTCACTTACACAAATTCATCTTTGATCCCTAACCCTACTCACTCCTCTATGATGGTGCTGATGAAGCTTCCAATTTAAGTCCCACATCGAGGTGTACCAAGCTAGGACGTCAAGGCTTAGGTGGGGCAATATTGTCATATTCGGGCTTTGAGGTGGTCGTGGTACCCAGAGGCGGAACTAGAATTGAATTAAAAAGTGGGCTGATTTTTCGAATGTATGAAATACTACATTTTATTTAATTATACATATAAAATAGCATATATCTACTTATTGTCCGACAAAATAATGTTGATAGTGCTTAGGTATATCATAAATTCAAAATATGATTTATATGCATGCATGTTCCGTTAGCTATATCAAAAAACCTTAAATATCGTTTAGATATCACTAAAGATGTAAACTCTAAATTCAAATATTACAAACTAGGGAGCAACAACAGTAGGGAGAGTAATTTTGAACTGAAATAATAGTTTGATACTATATTAATATGCATTTGTGTGATATTTTTAATGTAAAATTAAATTTTAGTATAGTATATATAATAACAAAATAGGTATTTTGTTTGATATTTTTTGGAAGAAAAAAATTATCATAATAAAACCATGTACAAAATTTTACAAATAAGCATATCTTATAATTGTAAATATTTATTTTGTATTTTTATAATTAATCAATAATATATTTTTTTAATACAAACAAAATTCAACTCTAGATTTTTAGTATATATTTTGTTCCTTCAAAATTTTAATATTAAATATATGTATCTGTTCTTCTTTCTTTTTTCTAAATAAGTAAAAAAAAAAAAATCAGGGTGGAGCAAGGGGGCTGAGCCTACCCTTGCCCCAACATGCTTCCGCCCCGGGTGGTACCGTGGTTTTTTCGTACTTAGAACTTTTGGTTGTGTAAAGAAATTCACTTAAACGTGGCAGAAGGTTCTAGATTGGGAATATTGCATATTCTGACATTTTGGAAGCATAATATTCTCTAGCATATTCAGAAACCATTTTGGAAGGTGTTATAGAATCGTTGTACATATTATGATAATTGAGAATATTCCCTGGCATATTCTGACCATATTGGAAGGGGAATATTCTCTAGCATATTCAAGAACCATTATGGAAGGTGATATATAATCGTCGTATATATCGTTGTGATAGTTGTACATTCTATAATAGGCTTGTAGAGTCCTTGGCCTATAAAAGGGTCTCCACCCCTCTCATTTGTATTCACGCAAGCATTGGCAATCAAGTGTTTATAAGTTTTTCTCTACACTTTCTCTCTAGTTGTTTTTCTCTAAAAGCTTTTGACATTTGTGCTGCTTGGCGGAGCCGGGAAGCTTGCTTAGTAGCTGACGGAGTGAGTTGCTAAGGGGCCACACGGTAACTTCAATAGAATGAAGTTGACCTGTGACACGTGGCAATTCCAACGGAGACAGAACTTGTGCCTCTAAAACAAGAGAACCCTGTAAGCCGGCCTGCTGGTATAGTGTTTGCTTTCTCTATTTTACTATTTTCTAAATTCTTGCATTTATGACTGAACAGAGTTGACACAGAGTCTGGATACTTTACTATTTTCTTTATTAATTTTGACTACACTAAGAAATATCAATGTAAATTGCATGTCATATGGTTTTCAATATTTCTTTAATTTAATAATTGATCTCAATGTTTTAGGATTTAGCAAGCCGATGGGAGGTATCTCCAAAGAGAGAATGGATGCCTCTAGACCTGTAATCCGAGTGAAGGCTGAACTCATGCCTGTTAAACAAGAAAGTTTCATCTATATGAACAGAAATCCCCTCAACCCCAACATGTTGCACTGGATAGGTGAAACAAGTTCTTTCACAACCACTTGGATCATATATTTGAATAGAGATGTGCCTCGTTAAATACCAAGCAACATCCGTCCTCAAGAGCATGGTCTCTATAAAATATTTTCCATCCCAATGCAAATGATAAATGAATTGTCAACATAGGATAGAGTCACGGGCCATAAGCTTCAAATCCTTTGTGGAAGAGAGAGAAATATGTAAATATTAATTATGATTTAAATATTCTATCGTTAGAGTTTTAAAGTTGCAAAAATAAAATAATATATATATAATATGTAAATATTAATTATGATTTAAATATTAATTTATTTAATTTTTTATTACATTATTTTATAATTTTTTATAAAATATTACATTCAAAATTAAAATAAAAAATAAATATTATTATATATTTAAAACTAACTTTTTATACTATAATGTTTTAAATTATACTACTTTTAATATTTATTTTATTAATATTTATATTTATATTTATTTTTTATTAAACTAATAATTAATAATTGAATGTGATATTTTGTGGAATAATATTTTTATAAAATTTATAAAATAGTAGAACAAAAAACTACATATATATAATTTTAGAAAAATGAAATTTGTTTTTTTTATGAGTTTATTTATGAAAATTTTAATTTGAAATTACTACTATTTATTCTGCACCGTTCTCAACCTAAATATATTATTATTCTTATATAAAATATTGAATCATAATTAATATTTATATATTTTTCTCTATGCCACTTTGTAACACATGTCAGCTTTTTAGTGGAGGGAACAGGGGAATAGAGGATTTTGGCGCAGAGGATTTGAAGACGTGGATGTCATGCACCGTAACACCTACATTCAACCTTCTCCCTGTCCCGGGAAGGACATAACTGATTCGACTGGTGAACCATAGTAATTGATACATGTATGTTTTATTGTTTGTTCAACTAGCTTTGTCAATAATGCATCTTTGTTTCAGCACAAGATGAACTGACAATGCTTACCATGAGTTATGCTTCAGAACTTAACAAATATTAATGAGAATATAATTTTACAATCAAGTTATAGCTTAATTCTATTATTATTTCATTAGTTAATATACATATAAATATATTTATTTAAAAAAAATTAATATTAATGAATCAAGTTGGGCCAGGGACGGTTATGGGCTAGGGCACGGCCCGAAAAAATTTCGGGTCTATTTTTGGAGGCCCAAATACAGTTTTTTTCTTTTTTTTTTTTCTTTTTTCATGCAGAGTTCTGATTGAATTTTTGGACAGTAAAATCGCCTAAATATCGAGACTGTATTCAGACAGCTTGTCATCCTGGAGGGCTGCTAACCTAGGCTCATTGTCTAACATCTTGACAATATAAGCATATGTTCGCACATCACCATTGTGTTTGTCAATTCCTGTGCGCGAACCGCCCCATGCATGTGAATTGTTCTTGTGTGCAAGCTACTCACTGCATGTCTGAGCTTGATGACATGGTCTTTTTGTTTTTTTTTTTGTTTTTTTAGCTTTTTAGATAGAGAATTGCGTAGACTTCCAAATGATTCAAATCAACCACTATTCATGGACGGTAGTAGAGCTTCTAAAAGGTTGGCATTTATAGATTGTCAGCTGATGAAGTAATTCTCAACCGCCTAATCCAGAAAATACAAAAAGGGGTTATCTCATATTCACACGAGTATTTTGGCATAGTTAAGTACAAATCTAGTCACAAATCATCATATATGATCATAGAAATTATTTTCAAACAGACAAAATTTAATGTTTATAGATTATCAAATTTCACTATCCAAGTTGATCTTTTATCGCAATTCTAGATGCCTTTTATTTGTGAATTTAAACATTCTTGATAGGATTTTGTCTTTTTATTTGTTTTTTATCTTTATTTTATTTTTATTGAGTCCCCTTTTATGTATTTGTATATTAACCATCCAAAGATCAAACATTTTAAAATTGGTGAGGAGACTATTCTACTCTTGCTACGTTTTTGTTCTAATAATGGGCTAATAATGTATAATTTTGTAATTGAGAAGGTTGTCCATTGATTCAAAAACGAAACTAGGGAGCGTAGCTTGGAAGAAGTTGGATCAAAATTGTCAAATGTGAATCAGAGTGCGAATTAGCCCATACGTGTAGCAACTTTTGTGATGAAAAGATCAAGGTAGAAGAAACCATGGATAAATTACTCTCTTTGGTTCAAAGATTTAATGGAATTTCATGAGATTTGGATTTTAAAATAGCATAAAATTCATGTTTGGTTAAAAAATAGAGAATGAAATTTAAAATGGTGTGATTTAAAAAATGGTCCAACATTCTACAAATAAATGATTTTTATTTTTTATTTTGTTAACTAGGTACTCTGTTACTTTTAAATCACATTCTTCAAATATTTACTTTTACTTTTATATCCTTTTATAAAAAAATAATATTATATTTATAAAATTAAATTATTTTAAAATTAATTATTATTTGAATTATGTATTTAATTAAATTTATATTAATTTTTTACGATACAATATTTTTTAAAATAAATTAATTGTTTAAAATTATTATTTATTATAAATTATAAAAATGACAATGAGTAGGGTTCAATCGGAACTAATATTCGTTCCCAATATATATTGTTAGATCCGATACTCAAATTGGATCCGATTATAGCATATCCTACCGAAAAATTGGATCCGATAAATCCATTTTTTTTACCATTCTTAAATTTTAATTTAAAATTGCACAAACATATATTAAAATTTATATATTTTATTAGAAAATATTATAATAAAATAATGAATAAGTTAATATCAAAAAAATATTTTTAATATAATTATATTGTTCGAAATTATTTTTTCATATGTATAGTTGAGATATTATTATTATATTATCCCGAACATGACCCGGATCCAGACCTAATACTCAAATAATTGAACTCAACTTCAAATAAATAGGTTGGGTCCGGTCGGGTCTCGAGTTTACGCGAATCTATTGTCATCCTATCTTTTCAATTTATATTAATAATGAATTAGAGTTTTAATTTATCAAAATAAATAAAATTCATAGAAGGACAATTATGTCATTTAAAATATGAAAAATCCAAATCATTCAACTCATATGAAATATAAATCCCACATTATTTTAACAATCAAACATAAGATAGAATTCAAATCCTAAATAAAATAAATTTCATCACATATAAATCCTACCGTTGAAATCTCAATTCCAAAAAAAAAAAATTCATCAACCAAACAGCCCTAAGAAATTTAGCAGGTCCTAACCTAACTCAGCAACGTTAATGCATTACATTCAGGATAGTAGATGATAGCACTACTTTTAAATTATAATAAGGACTAATCCATTTGTTTCTGTCAGGTGAAAAACCACGCAAGCATCTTCAAGAATTTTATTTTGTCTACACAGGTAAGAACCAACGATCAAATCAAGATTCACATTTTTTACTTTCTGCTTAAGAGAGCTATCAAAGATTCAATATTTAATCTGCCTCCTAAGACCATCTCCAACTGAAGAGATTTTCCTCTATTTTTGTAAGGTGGGGGAGAAAAAACCTGTTCCAACCCACCCTGTATTTTTGCAGAATTCACCTGCTGATTACAGCAGGGTGCAATTTTCTTTTTTATTTTAATATAATTATCTATTTATTTATATAATTATTTACTTTTTTTAATATTATCTATTTATTTATATAGTTATCTATTTTTTTATATTTATTTAATTTTTAATTTTTTAAATATCATCAACAAAATAAAAAATTGTATTAATTTTTTTATTTTGTTTATATTTTTATATTTTATTTATTTTATTCTTTTTTTTTATTTTGTTTTAAGCTTATATTTTATATATTTTATTTTTGTTACTTTTAATTTTATTATTTTTTATTATAATTTTGTAATTAATATTTATAGTAAATTATTTATTTATTTAATATTTATTAAAATTTATAATTAATTGATTATGGTAAAATAATTATAAATTATATATATTAAATTTAAAATATTATAATATTTATAAATAAAAAATAACATTAATTATAAAAAATATCATAACATTAAATAAAAAATAAACTTAAGAATACAATATAAAATTATGCGTACAATATTAATAAATATAATTTTTCGGTATAATATTTAAAATATTAATTAAAAATATTATTATAACTTAAATGTATAAAAATAATAAAATATTAAATTTTATTTGTAATTTTAAAAATTATGTAAAATAAAATATAAATAGAATATTTTTTAACCCTGCAAAAATGGAGGGTATGGTTGGAGAAGAGACCCTGCAAAAATAGAGGGTATAGTTGGAGATGGGTTACTCAAAAATGGAGAAATGTATTGTAGACCCTGCAAAAATGGAGTTATGAATTGGAGATGGTCTAAGAGTGTTACTACATGGACCTTCACGAAGAAAATGAATTTGGAAAAGTATTTCCTCTATGAAATAATTATGTGGAATCAAACAACACACATCAAAATCTTTATTCATATATTTGGACCGATTTCATGTTCTAATTTTGAGATGTCCTCAACATCAAAGTCGTGAGCAACTATTGCTTCAATATTTTTATTAAGGTTTGACTTGTATTGAAAGGAGATCAATCATAGATGTTGCAAGTGGAGACACATTGACGAACAAAAGTACTCTTGGAGAGACGTGGAGATTGTTCAACGACATGGCTATGAAATCACAACAGTTTATTGCAAAAAAAGGTCGTGCTTGTTAAATAAGCAAGTGACCTAAGTGCCATACAACAACATATAAGTGCACTAACTTCATTTTTTAGACAATTGGCTGTACGAAATTCACAAGAAACGCCTATGGAATCTGTGCATGTTTGGAACATCCTACGGGTGTTTGTCCTATCGTGATTCGAGGAGTAGATGTTAATGTCGCATTATTCATTCAGATTTCAGAGGACATTTTAACCACAAATTGAATACTTACACTGCAGTACTGTGGAGAGATGACCCTACTGGAAGAATGAAAATTAGAAAACCAATGCAGGAGATGATTCCCAGGAATTCCAAGTGCCTAACAATCCATCGCAACCCTTTTTAAGCATTTCCGAGTTTATTACTTTAGAGGATAGAATGAAGGTTATGGCATCTAAGGGATTAAAGAACATGAATAGGGGGAGAACATATAATAGAAATTCAAATCTTCTTCAAGCGTTTGGCCTAGGGAAAACTAAGTCTCACATTGGGGCAGAGTAAACGAGGACATTAAATATTCTTAAAACATTTTCAATCAATATTTGACGGCTCGAGAAGTCATTAAATAATTTCTCGTCGTATCTTATATCCCAATATAGAAACGTTTCATTTTTTACTTTTCTCAACACAAGTATTAAAATCTTAACAATGAATTTTCATGGATAATGAATACAAAAAGAAAAGTTACCTTATACTACCTTAGATGTTCATCAGGTTGTAACAACACAATAATTTCAATCTCTTTTTACACCTTAGTCTAAAGACTTTTCTGAAGACCCATGATTTATACTTTCACTCATAATCTTCAGGCCAAAATTGTTTTTTCAAGCAAATAATATTAGTTGTTGTTGTTATAAGATTTTTATTTTATTCATTGTGATACTCAAACATTCATATATGAAAGGTAAAACTTGGAAGGTCCATAATTTATGTTTTAGTTTTATGCGCAGTTATATGAACATTAGAAAAGCGAAAAGTTATACGAGCTACTAAGTAATTTTCTCAATTTATATATATATATATATAAATACTCGAACTCAGAAAGCGTGCTACGCGGTGCGGTGTACTTATATTATAAATAAATTTGATGTATATTTTATGAGAATTCTTGGTAATTCATAATTATATGTATTTTTAACTTTCAACAAATAAAAGGCCAAAGTCAAATTAATATTCAA